AAGTTACTGCACCTTATTTTTCATAGTCAGAACGGTCAGATTTTGAGGGTTTACCACTTGCTTTGATGTACAACATTCTTTTGATAACTTGATCTTCAATACCTCAAGACTGCTGAGTGACTGGAGTTTGTATGTCAGAAGAAGTTTGCTCAGATACATGTCTAAAAAAGACAAAATGGTGGCTTTGATCCAAAATGGCCAACTTCCTGTTGGGTTTGGACCATGACTTCAAGAGACTTTTATTTGGCCGTGCCTTAAGAACAAGCTGGTAAAGTTGGAACCCGATAGACTGAAATCCCTAGGAGGAGTTTGATCAAATGTGGAGGCTCTAATTTATGGCGACAATGTGGTCAAAATCGGAACTTCAATCCAAAATGGTCTACTTTCTGTTTGGTGCAGAGCATGGCTGCAGGAGACTTTTCTGTAGGTCTTGGGGAGTTCTAGAAGAGGACCAAATTGTATGCCTCTGCAAAAAAGGTTGATGAGGAGGGTGTTTTGAAAGTTGCAGAGTGGTGCAGTTGAGCTGTTTCTGTTACGATTTTTGTGACAATGTTAAAATGCATAAATTTTATGCAGGCCTAATGCGACCACCAAATCTGGTAAGTTTTCAGATATGTTTAGGCCTCCAAAAAGCCAATTAATTTAACTGAAACATAATGAAAAACAGGGATTAAAATAGGCCATCACAGCACATGGCTGGTCAGACCTAAATGTAAAACATCCAAGGAAGTGAATACGTTTTATGGGCTCTGTACTTGTATAACCCTCAGTCTACCAAGGAGCTGTGTTGTGTTGAACAAATGCTTTTAATGCAGAGATGTTTTTCTGTGAAACACTGCCGCCTTGTGGCTGTATTTAACATTATCTGTTTCCATACTCTTTTTTTGTACCGTCAACATGTCCCACATTTCTTTTTATGACTGATTCATTTGAACTTTTGGCTCAGAGGAAATTTATATTAAGAGCTTCATGTCAGACTGCAATTTTATTATTAAATTTGAAGTCAGGATGCATTTGTTTTTCTGGAAGCCATTTAGTTTCAGTTGTTTTCTGATTAAAATATATTTGTTTCTTTGGATGTTCCACAGGTTCCCATTCTGTATTTCCCGAAATCTAATCCAGGGCTGAAGAGGAGAAAGAGAGACTGGGTTATCCCTCCTATGAATGTTGCTGAGAATCACAGAGGACCTTTTCCCCAGGAAGTTGTTCAGGTAAGAGAAATTAAAATGAATAGGCTTGTGTATGTATGAATGATGCTAGAACAATGACATTCAGTGTAATTTTATTTGTTCTTTCAATTGTACCTTGTATTTTAAGATATATTCCTCCTCTGTTTTTGTGCGTTGCTTAAACGTGTCTCAACCTTTGTCTGTGTTCAGATTCGCTCTGATGCCGATAAAACGAAGAAGATCTTTTACAACATCACTGGTCCTGGAGCTGATGAGCCTCCTGTTGGACTTTTTACCATGGACAGAGACACTGGTTATCTGTATTTAACACAGGGACTGGACAGAGAGAAACAGGACAAATACACGGTCAGTGTTTTCTCTTGTAGCTTTAAGCCTGATGCTCTTCTGTTCGCTGTTTGTTAAAGATGAAAGACTAAAGAAAGTCAAAAAAACAATTTTCTGAAACAATTCTCAAGTTTACAAGAAAATACTCAAATAAAAACTGTCATCTCTGATTTAATACACTGAATATGGTCTATAAAATCGGAAAGATAAAATATAAATTTTCTTGCAACATAAAATCAAAGAGACCATATTATTCCAATATGTTAAAATTATCGTTCTTACAGCTTAAAGCCCATGCTGCGACAGCGGGAAGTACTGAAAGTGCAGAGGATCCTATGGATATTATAATCAATGTAATTGACCAGAATGACAACAAACCTGTTTTCAAACAGTCTACCTATAAGGGAGAAGTTCCAGAGGCCTGCAAAAAAGGTAAACTCCCAGGATTCAGATAATGAACATGCAAAAAGCAAAACCTTTTGCAAATTGTAAGTATGCTTGGAACTTTTGGCAGGACCCTTTGAACAATTATTACACTATGTAAAAATTGGTGTATATATATTATGCAAAAATTATTTTTTATACTTCCATTTGGGTCTGTTTCTAAAAACAGTCCAAGTGCTTAAAAAAAAACCCCACACGGACGTTTTTTGGGAATAAGTTAATGTTTTTTTGGTGTCTGGAGAACGAGCAATTTCAAAAACCTCCCAAACCGTCTGGCTGGGGTTGTCCTGCAACCCCAGCTAGACCCAGCCCCATCATCTGGCAACCCAAGCTTATCTGCAACACATTTGATCAGCTGGATTTACTGCTGTATATGCTGTACAATGGCTGCTTGGAAAGATGAGTGTTTTGTTGTTGACTGATCATCCAGAAACTACATGCTGCATTCTTTGTGGTTGATCTGAAGGCTCTTCTGCTTCTCAAAGATGCACAATTATATAATTGCACATCTCTTTGCAGACATTTTCATGGACGAATAAACCATGATTTGTGGGGCGTGGCCAGAAGCAGCTTATTTGGATTTAAACTGACAAGAGACCCTAAAACAGCTCATTCTGAAAACAGACGAAAATCTTATCCAAGAAGGATTTTGTGTTTTAAAAATAACTGTAATGAATATGTGTTGTATAGCTCATAGACCTAACCCATACAAGCAAACATAATAGGTAACCTTTAAACACCAGAATACTTTAATTTGGTTGATCTTCTAGTCAGCGACGCCTGCAGGATATTATCGGAGGGTGCGCACAACACTGTCACCTGAGCGTTCTAGATGAACACAACCACATCTCCAACGCTCATCATGTGCGTGTCGCACAAACCTAAACAACACAAATTCAGGCCACATGTGCAGAATGCGTATGGCCCACAAAACTGCGGATCTAATCCGCTTTCTTTCTTTTTCCTTTTTTTTAATTATTTATACTTAAAGTCAGGAAAGAGCGTCAAGCCGCCAAATAAACAAAAGTAAACTGACCACTAACATTTAGGACGGACATGTGACCATCCCCACAGTCTTGCAGAGATGTGAACTATGTCCAAGATGTTTTGTCACAAAATAAGTTTTTTTTCTCCACAATCTTGTTTATAGTAAAGGGGCTTAGATAATAAAAAATCCAGTAACTAATTCAAGGTGCACACAGTGTGTACAGCTGCAGGACTTTATAAAATAGCAATCATCTACAAAGAGAACACTTGGGTGCCTCTAATCTTTTAAGTGTATGGATTTAGGGTCATGATTTATTTATCAATTAGACATAAGCAGGGATGAAAGTAAGCTGGTATGGTCCGGTTTCTGAATTGTCCATGCTGTGAGCGGAGCCTCTACTCCTCCAGTCTCTCTCTCTCTCTCTCTCTCTCTCTCTCTCTCTCTCTCTCTCTCTCTTCCCTCCCAGAGCTCGTAGTTTTCGTAAGCAGCCTTCAAACCATTCTCCGCTATAACATCTTTCTGCTTGTTACAAAATGTCCCAATTAAAAGCAAACGGAAAGTGTCTAGTTGTGTTTCGTGTTATTTTGCTCAATTAAATCAGCACGGCACACCTTGAAAACAACTGCTTACTAACTTATGACCGAGATTTCACTCATATTAAACAATGGCACATGGAACGCGTGTCTTCCTCTTAAAGACGGTAATTGCTGATCAGATTGGTGTGTTTGATTTAAGCATTGGGGAATTTTACACAGGTGGTCCACAGATATAAAAGAACGCCGCTTGCATTATTTTATATATGAGAATATATACAATAAACCGCTTAGCATTCATAGACTTCATAATAACACCGTGGGAATTTTTAATTCAAGCGAAATCAAAACCTGATGAAAGTGCAGAGAACAAATACTAATTTGTTCAAAAGAAAAGAGTAATGTTGAAGTTTTTATATATTTAAAAAAAAACTGCACTTAAATACAAGTCTAGTTACTAATATTCAAAGTAACAAGCACCTCATTGCAATTTTACTTTAGTTACTTTATGAGCAAACGTTCTGCTCATCACAAAGGAAATGAGAACATATTGGCCTCAAACTGTTTTTATTTTAAAGGACCACATTTATAAATAAAAATGCAACACAAAATATTGTATATTTTTAATGGGACATTAATTTCCAATATTTTATCTAATAGTTTTAAATAACAGAGTCCAAATTAATCACCTCATTTTCTGTTTTAAAATTTAGTCAATACAAAATATAATCACAAGAACCTGATAAAAATGACATTTACATTTGCTGTTAAAATATTCAAGTTTACTATGTGTGGTAAAGCTGCTGCCTTTCTCACACTTACAGTTAAATTGATGCCTTAAGTACAGCGAGGGGTTTTCTTTTTCTCAGACTTTAACTTGAACTAAACTTAATAGGTTTTTCTTGCTCCTCTGTCTTCCCATTGATGCCACACCATGAGATCTTAATACAAACCCAGCTGAAAGATCAATGCTGTTTTTTCTGGTGTTATATTTTATCTTTACTCATTAATGGATATGATTTCAAATGTAATAGTAACTTTATTTAAAACAAATTCAAGGAAAAGTAAAAGTTCAGGGTTTGAAAACAACTTAAGGAAAATATTAGACAAATTGTAATTACAGCAATAAATTCAAATGTAACTAATTACTTTCCACCCCGTAAGGCAGAACCAAAATATGTATTTTTCCATATTGTGAAGTGCTTCTACTTCTGTGTTATCCATACAGGTAGTGCAACCCTGGTGACAAATAAATATACTAAGCATGCTAAATCTTAGTGTACTTGAAGCCAGACTAATCATCAGTATACTTCAAGTTAGATGAAGATTAGTTAACTTGAAGTACGTTATTTTGGAACAACTAATTTTGTGCTTGGTGAATTTTAATAGTAATTAAATTGTAGAAAATCACAATTTAAAGTGTACTAAGTGTATTATCACATGCTTTTTTGGAACAACTAAAGTTATACTTTGTATGCTTTATATAGCTTTTTATGTCATATAAACATGCTTGATATCTTAAGTGTACTATTTTTGTGATTGAATTACATTTAAAATATATTTAGAATATATTTTAAATATGAGCATTATACACTTATATATTAGTAGTGTGTTCTCAGTATGCTCCAATTACACTTTTGGTTTTAGTTATTTAATTTCTTATTTTTCTTTGCCACTTTGTACATTACATGCTTTATGCAAACATATCAGACTACCAGAACACAGAAGGATCGATTACAACACAGTTTTCAGGCGAAACACATTACTTTGTGTATTCAATATATTCACATTTTTCAAGAGTACCTTGAAAATATACTATCAGAGAATTGTACAAACTGTCAAAATATTAAAAGTTTACAGAAAATATGCAGAAAATATGAAAATTAGCACAGTAAAAAAATAGAAACACTTCAGAGGAAATGTGAAAAATACTTAACCAAGGACAGAGTATTATAATTCAATGTCATGGTATTCCAGAATTACTCCAGACAAACTGACATTTGTCCTTCCTAAGAACAGTGAGGCTCAACGACAGAACATTCCCATTCACTGCACTTTACAGAAACCGACAAAAAAGAATAGAGCAATTAAACAGAGAAAGCAGTTGTATTTTAAAGAGTAGAGAGAAACGACAAAGATAAGAGTATGACTTACAATTTTAGGATGTTGTGAACTCGCTATGTCTGTGACATCATCAGAATTGATGCTGATGTTTGGGACCAGATGCCTGGAGTGAAGAAACATTTCTGGGTGTCTTCTTTGTATTTGTCATAAGTAGAAAAAGTAGCTAGCAATATAGAATCAGTTGTGTGGTTTAAGTATGGACTTATCCATCCATACATTATCTGATCACCACCAGCCCCCCCTCACCATCTTGCTGATCCTTGCAGGGTGGTGAGGGGGGCTGGTGGTGCCCATCTCCAGCAGTCATCAGATAAGAGGCAGCGTTCTTAGTTCAGCTTACCTTCACTGTTAAATCTTAATAGTTGCTTCTCTGACTGTTATTCGTTTTATCTTGATTAGATTTTGAGATGATTCAAGTTGTGGCCACAGATGCTGATCAGCCAGATACTGACAACTCTGATATCAGGTACCGTATAATGAGTCAGAAGCCAGAGCAGCCCAGTCCCAACATGTTTACCATCAACCCAACAACTGGAGTCATCAGAGTCAACGAAGCTGGGCTGGACCGAGAGGTGAGAATTCTGACAGTTTTGGCCCATCTGACTAAAATCAGAATTAGGCTACAGTTAACGTGTATTTTTCTTATGAAATGCAAAGATTTGGGAAGATGATATAGAGTTTCAAAAGCAGAAATCATTGTCAAATTTCGTATATACCATTTTAGTCAAATAAACTCTTTGACTGATGTTTGAAACTTAAAATTAAGATTAAATTCTCATTGTTCTAATGATACTGTTTTTGATTAATTGATTAGGTGTAGATGTTTGGTGTCCTTTGCCACTAATGGAATATTGTACATGCTCTTTGTGAATCATTTTCACTTTTTCTCCTTTGAAGATGCAACAGATTGAGTATTCTTGATTAAATGTTACTGGTTGAATTAAACTGAATTTGGAAATTGTGAAGGGCTTAGGAGCATTAAGGAATATAACTGAGAAACGCTGGATTATGCCAATAGGCTTTATGGTTGAAATAATGCAAGACGTGTCCATTTAACGTTTGCACTAAACTGACCCCATCTTCTGAATGTCATCGCTGAAATTGACCTTTTATTGTTGTTCATCAATGGTATTCTGCATAGCGTCATTCTCAAATGAATGAAATAGATTTGTGGAACTCCCAGTATGAGGACAGATGTGAACTATCCAGACCAGCCAATCCATGTTCAAGACACTAAAATGAACTTTTTTTTCTCCCTATTTTAATGGCACTATACTCAATTCACTGTCGCAGACAGTTTCATAGTTCTATGTACACTGAATTCATTAGGAGCGGGCTCACTTTAAAAGTATGCGATTGGACAATTTCAAAATTGAAAGCTTTTTGCAACCAAGGTGAAATTATTGGGGGGGGGGGGACAAATGGGCCTCCCTCCAATATTGGGGGAGACACGTTTTTAGGGGCGCACCGATTTATCGGCCAGCTGATTTATCAGTGCCGATTTCCTTAATTTTGGGAGATCAGTGATAGGCTGATTTTTACATGTGAAGCCGATCAAATCCGCTGATGTTATCAATCTTGGCAACGGTTTAAAAATCAACCACTGTGCTTTTCTTTTCTCCCTTGAGAGAGGTTTTGACTGACAAACTGGCCAATCTGAACATGTCTGCACATTGACAGTTAACAGCAGTCACCCCATTGTTGTCAGTTCAGCAACTTTCTTGATATATTGAACAACATTTCAGACAATAAAATGGTATCAGCCAAAATCGGAATCAGTAAATTAGGCTTTTTAAAAGATCGTTAATCGGCGATCAGCCAGAAAACTGCAATTGGTGCACACCAACTTTTTTCCTCCCTACCTTAATGGCATTAATCTATTTTCAGCAAGTTAGTTTTAATAATAAATTAGATTATTAATGAAAAGTTAATGTATTTGAGTAACTCTGCTCACAAATATAACACATTTTGTACCTGAATTATTGACTGAAGTTTTACAGACTTGCTTCTGTTAGTGATTTTTTTGCTTACAGCTAATGAAAACATGACATTGAAGATTAGAATATCACATCAGACCAAAAAAAATCTTTCTTCATAAATGTGGGTTTAACAAAATATTTTTCATATCTGCTTAAACGTTATTTTCAAAAAGGTACTTTTAATCTGACAAAAGAGCCTCATTGGAACCCATAATCTGATTTTATTAAGGATGACTGTAATTAGGGACGTCTCAATAATGTCTCAAGACAGAGTCCGACTGTCTAGAAATAAAATCTTGCTCTTTGCAGTGACTGCCATAAAACCAAGAAAATTACAGCATCAGCTTGAAGTGGGAACACTGCTGCCAACTTAGTGATGTTGGTCCTGTATTTTGCAACTTTTCAGACCCCTCCAGCAATGTTTTTTCTAAAAGAGTGACCAGCAACAAATATGGCAACTTTCTCTAGTTTATCGGGGACTGCATAATCCTGACAAAATGGGGCGGAAAAAATAACAAAACTGCAGTGAGAGCTGCTCTGCTCTCCTCCCACCTCAGAAACACTGTCAGGCTGTCGATCTAACAGCAGGCTCAGCAAGCAGTAGAGCAAAGAAACACACTCCATTCCTTTTGCACATTTCAATGGAAAGCTGCCAGAAATCCTGCTCTGAATTACAGTTATAACAAATGGAAAAAATGCATGTCCCATAGACATTTAAGCACAGAGTGACTTGATTTCTATTTGACTAATTGGTTTAACTAAATCATGCTCTATCCAGACTATTTCACAATTCAATGTTGTCAGGCATTTAAGAATAGATCATTCAACAAATCCTTGCGAAAAACCTCAAGAAACAAAAAGTTACAATATTATTCCTAAACATTATGACTTACCATGCTGATATTTATGCCTTATAATTAACTGAAGTTAATATGAAAAGTTGAGGCATTTCTTAAAAGTACAAAAACAGCAGTCTTTATTAATGACTCAGTTCTTCATTTGAAATATTAGTTTTTCAGGAAATGCACTTTAGCAGAGCGTAAGGCTATTGTATTGTCCATCATTTCCCCACCCTCCTGCAGTGTCCTGTATCAGACTCTAAGAATCACCTCTGGATACCATGCTCTCTGCTTTAAGCTACAAATACATATCTGTTGCAGATCTAATTTCAATAAATCTTTTTTATGTCATGTTATCATTTCTCTACTTGAAATCTTCTGATACGTTTCTCAGAATGAGCTTTGTACTGTTTGTTGGAGCCTAAATATTTTCTAAACTAAGTTTTTCTTAAAGGCATCTAAGCTCTGCAAGTGATAAATGAGAACTGAAGTAGTGTTGAATATTTTAGAAAGGTGATTTTCTACAGTTCAGTGACAGCAAACTGAAAGTGTCCTGTTTAATTAAAGTCAACATTCATTCAACAGAAAGTCCCTGAGTATGAACTGGAAGTACAGGCAGCTGACATGAAGGGAGAAGGTTTGACTACATTAACCAAAGTGATGATCAAAGTGACGGACATCAACGATCACGCTCCGGTCTTTACAAAGTCGGAAGTAAGTAGAACACAACTTAAAAAAAAAAAACAAACAAAAAAAACAAAACGTTTTGTTAATGGATGGCTTTGTTTGAAAGTCTCTATATATAAATTAGTTGTACTTAAAACTTGAAGTTTTTTTAAAGAAGAGAACCACTTTATAGATATAAAGTTTTTCATATTTTTAAAAATATTTTCTGTTTTATGCTTGTTTTGTCCAAAACAGTTCTCATTTATGAGAGAGAAAAACCCAAAACATGCAATATTTTTCAAAAATAAACAGCAAAGTTGAATATTTTTCATGTGGATGTTTCAGCCTTGACAAAAAATATTTATGGATTATTTTTGGAGTGATGAAAGTTAAAACTGACACTCTTTACATTCATGACTTAAAATGTTACATCGTTGTCCAAAAAATTTGATTTCTTGAAGGGAAAAAATAAAATATGCAGTATTTTTAACATGTAGACAACAAAGATGCTGCTCCTCATCC